GCCCGTGCGGCGCCAGGCCAGGCCTGCTAGGCTAGGGGCCAGCTGGCAGCCAGCGGTCGGTGGTGGTGTGGAGGAGTGGGCCAGGTGTCGGGCGGCCCGCATGCAGGGTCAGCGAGCGGGGCCCTTGCTCGCCGAGCGCGCCCCGCCCGTGGCCACGCCTAGCCTGCCTCCCTGGCCTCCTGAGCCTCGCTCGTAGCACAGCCTGCCTCGTCCCCGACGACCTGACCTGACCTGACCTGACCTGGCTCAACCGCCGGCCAGTCCAAGAGGCCAGGCTAGGCTGTAGCGGGGCAGGGCAGGGCGTAGGCCCTGGCATGCGCTTGAGCTTGCCGCCAGCCTTGCCTCCTATCCTTTGGCCGCGGCCGGCCCGCTCTGATCCTCCTCGCCCTCGACCACCACCGTCGTTAGCCCTGCCTCGTTAGCCCTGCCACCGCCACCGCCTGCCCTCTCGTCACCTCACCTCGCCTCACCTCCTGCTCCCCATCCCCCGCCTCCCTGCTTGATCATCCCAGAGCGACGTAGCGGCTTCAGCGCTCTTCGATCCACCGCAACACTCGCCGCACGCCATGTCGCAAGACTCGGCAGAGGTCCTTGCCAAGATCCTCGACGAGCTCACCGAGCTCAAGATCCGCAACGCCCACCTCGAGGCAAAGGTGAGAGGGGCAGCGTCCAAGGACGCGCTGGGGAGCTCGGCCGTGGTCTAGAGGAGCGGCGCCGTCCACCGAATCGTCCACTGACCCGTCCACCTCCTCTCGGCCCTCCGCCAGGTCGACGCCCTCCATGGCGCAGCAACGTTACCCTCGCCCAGCTCCCATGCCCGACGACAGAGCTCCACCGGCCTCTCGCCGCTAGTGCAGACGACGACGGCCAGCAGCGGCAGCGCGGCAGCCGCCCTCGCCCTCGGCAGCTCCCCGCCTCCGCATGCTCTCGGTCCCTCGGTGCTCCAGTCGATCCACGGCGTCCCGCAGACCAACAGCCCCACGCCCGTCCTGACCCCAGACCTCGGCGCCAAGAAGACCCTCCCGCACCAGTCGCCGCCGCCGCCGCCGCCGCCATCTTCATCGTCCGCCGCCTCCTCGGCCACAGCCTCGGCGGGCGAGACGACGGCGAGCCCCGCCTACACCACCAACGGATACTACTCGTCGCGCGTCATCCTCACCACCTACCCGGGCCAGGTCGGCATCAAGCCGCTCCCGCTCGCCTGGGGTGCGAGCGAGCCGCGGCAGCGCGGGCCCGTCGTCGCCAGCCGCCACCCCAACTCGATCAAGGTTCGCAACGCCATCGGTGCCTACGGCGGCAGCTACTCGGTCTACCGCAGCCTCGCCGTCGCCATGGGACAGCTCAACCCGAACCATCGCCCCGACTATACCAACACCGAGCCTCCCTTTGACATCCCGCCCAACCCGAGCTGGTTTGACCGCAGCAAGATTGTCGCCATGGACCCGTGGGGCCACCTTGCGCCCCAGCTCTTCCGGTCCGAGTTTGACGCCGGCATCGACATCCGGCCCACGGCGTCGCTCACAAAGGCGCACATCAAGATGCCCGAGCTCGACACGGCGCAGCTGGCCGGCACGTTCCCCGTCGACGGCAAGGTGGTCGTCAAGAGCCAGCGCCTCGCAGGCGTGCCCGACGACGTCGACCCGGGCTGCGAGGTCAACGTCAGCAAGGCCGCCGTCGACCCGGTGTGGTACCTGCCGGGCGTCGCGGATCGCCTCGGCGTCACCGAGGGCGCGCTCCGCCGCGCCATCTTTGAGGACACGGGCGGCTCCTACCCCGAGCTGCTGACGCGCCACGACCTCAAGGTCTTCCTGCCGCCCATCTCGGGCCTCACCGTCTACATCTTTGGCCGGCCCGAGGACCTGCGCGACCCGGCCAAGGAGGTCACTGTGCGCATCCACGACGAGTGCAACGGCTCCGACGTCTTTGGCAGCGACATCTGCACCTGCCGGCCCTACCTCCTGTTTGGCATCGAGGAGTGCATCAAGACGGCGCAGCGCGGCGGCGCCGGCGCCGTCATCTACTTCCGCAAAGAGGGGCGCGCCCTCGGCGAGGTGACAAAGTACCTCGTCTACAACGCCCGCAAGCGCGGCACCGACACGGCGGCCAACTACTTCCGCCGCACCGAGGACATTGCGGGCGTCAAGGACATGCGGATGCAGGCCCTCATGCCCGACGTCCTCCACTGGCTCGGCGCCACCAAGATCGACAACTGGATCAGCATGAGCGACATGAAGTACCGCGCCGCCGTCGACAGCGGCATCACGATCATCAACGTGAGTGCAGAAGGCGGGCAGATGGCCGCAGAGTTGCGGCCAGGCGACTGACTCGATCCCTTCCTCTGTTTGCCCCTCCACACTCTTGTGGCCTGTGTCGCCACGTCGCCGCGTGGCCCGCTGCTTTTCGAACGCACCAGCGCTACGAGCTGCCAGAGAGCCTCATCCCGGCCGACGGCCGCGTCGAGATCGACGCCAAGATCGAGGCGGGCTACTTTTCGGGCAAGAAGGTGACCGAGGCCGACCTCAAGTCGACCATCGGACGCCACTGGGAGGATGTGGACCACTGAGGCGGGCCGGGCTGGGCCGGTTCAGAGGTGAAGGCGACGATGGGGATCTCCCATCTGCTCGAAGGGCGCGTCTTAGATTGCGTGTCGGCCGCCTGCCTCGGCGATAGCGAACACTTTGATCGTGGTGAAGGGGCGTTGCAGCCCGTCGTCGAGTCACGGTGTCTCTGTTTGACTTGAGAGGTGCGTGCGGGAGAGGGGGGTCGCGTCAGGGCAAGAAGACAAACGATCCCATACCGCTACATCTCGTCCTGCTGGGGTGGCGCCACGGTTCCCTCGTCGCGCCATCGGGCTCCTCTTGGAGATTGAGCCGCCGCTGCACATCATCGACGACGACGGTGGTGGATGCATCCGACCCTGTCTTCGTCCCTGTTGCTGTGCCTGAGCCCGTCTCTACCGGCTCGTCGACCTCGGCGGGGGCGGGGGCGGAGATGGACCAAAAGGCGTCTCCGATGATGTCGCAGTGGAGCGTGACGAGTTCGAGGTCGTGTGCCGATTCGAGGCGTTTGCGCCGTTGCTTTTCCGCCTTGGCCCGCCGCTTGGCCGCGTGCGCCGGCGTGATGCCCTCGCGTGCCGCCTCGTCCTCGAGCGTCTCGCGCTGCGCATCCACCTGTCCGACGCCTTGCCGCGCCGTTGATGAAGACGTCTCCTCGATGGCATCCGCTTCGGTCCCGGTCCCGGACCCCGTCGTCGACGTCGACGTACGACTCCCCTCGATGGCATCCGCCTTCGTCCCGGCCGACGCCGACGACGTCGACGTACGACTCCCCTCGACGACAGACCGGTACCAAACGAGTGTAGTGCCCTTTCGGAACATGGCCTCGAGCCGATCGTAGTTGATGCCGAAGCGCCAGAGGATCTCGTGCTTGTCCCTGCTAAAGGTGCCGCGCAGCGTCTCGGTCGCCTCGGACTCGGTCTGCCCACCCTGCAGGACGAGGGCCCAGAAGGTGGTGTTGTACAGGTTGTTGATGTGCGTATCCGCCTGGCGCCATTTGAAGTAGTCGCGCACGATCTCGGTCGAAGGGTAGACGACGAGGCGGCCGTCAAAGGTGGGCGGGTACTGGAGCGGCGTGGTGGGGAAGAAGCGCGACCAGGAAAAGACGTAGGCTGATGTGAAGAGCGAGACGATGTGCGTCGTGATCTTGCTGTGCGAGGTGCCGAGATGCGATCGCAGGACGGGAGATGCGGGGGAAGAGGGGAGAGGGGAGAGGTAGAGGGAGACGGTGAGCGGCGACGTCGGTCAACGGGGGCGGGGGCAGGCGCAGAGCACGGCACGCACCTGGTCCTGCGAGAGTAGAGGGTGGCGTCGCGGCGCAGCAGGAAGCTGTACTCGTCGCTCTCGCCAAATGCCATCGTCACCTGCCCCTTTAGCTGTGCCATGACGTGGCGCGCCGCCTCGTTCATGAGCTCGAGCGCGAGCGGATCGTTTGGCTTGGCGAACGCGTGCGCCTTTGAGAACCTGCGCGGCGGGAGAGCAAGGAGGGTGGGAACGGTGAGACGGGTGCGGCGGTGCGATCTCGATGAGAGGAAGAGAGAGAAGAGCCGGCGGCGCGCACGTACTTGTGGAAGCCCTTGCCGTCGATGCGGACCACCATGTAGGTCGAGGGGAGTACGGCGTCGGGCAGCTCAAAATTGCGCACGTAGGCAAACTTGGTGCCCGCCATGATGGTGTCGTCGTCGTTCGCCAGTCGCCGGCCGTCGGTGTTGGGTCGCTTGTTTGCGTCTAGGAGTACCCTGCTGATGGTGTGTTGTGGTCGGGATGATGTCCGAGGTCGGAAGAGCGAGGAGGATCAAGGCAGAGGTCCGGGGGCCCAGGGCGAGGCGGTGGAGCTCCACTTTTCTGCGTGGCCTCGGTGAAGGGGGACAGGCTCGACCTTCTTGCTGCCTTCCGCGACCCGAGTCCCGTTCACCTTGCTTGCGGGCCCGCCACCTCTCGGCCCCTTTTTCGTTGCGAAAAAGCCTCCGCTTTTGGGGGGGGGGGCTGCCTGGCCTGTGGGCCGGGCGTGCCAGCGGCGGAGCATCTCATCGCCCTCATTTGCCCCGGGGCGTCCGTCATGGTCGGGTCAGCATCCGAAGCTTGAGGCGGAGGGCGAGTCGTCGTCACGACGAGGCAAGCTGGGAAGGCGATGCAGGTAGGCCCGGCTGTGCTGGCTGTCTGATTGACTAGAGAGGCAGGGCCTCGTGGCGGTGCGGTGCCGGCGGTCACTCCGGATGACAGCCTCCAGCCCAGCCCAGCCTGGCCCAGTCCAGCCCAGCCCAGCCTAGCGCACCAGGCAAGAGCTTGGACCCTGCTTCTCGCCTGACTGCTGGCCACCTCGCTTTCGAGAGGTTGAGAACAGGGTCCACCCTGCTTTGGTGTCCCAGGGCCAAGCCGGCCAGCCTGACAGCCTACGCTTGTGCGCTGCGCCTTGGCTGGTGACCAGCTGCAGCAGCTCGAGGCCCAACTTGCAAGACGGCTTGATGCCGTCGTCGGCCGCCGCCTAGAGTAGTAGGCTAGCCAAGATTGAGGCAATGATTCAGCCCGAGGTCACGGTGCGGTACGGTACGGGACGCTAACCAAGCAAGCAACTTCAGCTAGGCCGGCCTGGCTATCGATTGGGCTCCGTCGGGCGCTGCTCCGGCCGTCAGCGTGGCTGAGAAGCAAGCCAGCCTGCCTGCGCCTGCCTGCGCCTGCCTGTCTCATCTGGCCTGGTCTGATCGCTGGCCAACGTACGTCGTTGCTTTGCCTCAGCTCAAGCTTGCTTGCTTGCTGTCGAGCCAGGTCGACTCGAATTGGGTGCGGTGAGGGCCTGGTTTGGCCTGGCCTGGCTAGAGACATGCCGCCTGCTCCAGCCGTCGCGGGCCATCCGTTCCACCGCTCGACGACACCTCTAACTGACCCATCCTTTGCCCCGGCGCCTTCCCCCTCCTCCTCGTCTCTCTCTTCCCCGTCTTGCTCTGAGCCTCCAGCCCCCGACTACCACCACCATCACTACCATTTCCAAAGATCCATCGCTCTTTTCGCTCCTGCCAGAGTAGTGCTGCACGCCGCCGCGTGCACGTCGTTGGATCTCGTCGCTGCCAATCTGCTGCGCCTCGCCGCTTTCCTCTTGCCCCATCCTGCCACTCGTCCAGCATGCCCCCTCGTCCCAGTCACCATCGCTCCAAGTCGGTCCACTGGGCCACCCTCCCCTCTTCATCGTCGAGCAGCAGCAACACCAGCAGCAGCAGCAGCAGCGCCACCGCCGCCGCCAGCACCTTGCAAGGTTCTATGACAGCAGGCAGGAGCGTCGCCGCCACCCTCCCTCCGCGTCCCGCCACCTCGCCCGGACAGCGCACCACCCGTCCCCGCACAAAGTCGCTACCCCTCTCCGCCTTTGGCCCGCCCCGCTTCTTTGCCGAGCTCGAGCAACACATGCAGACCGCCATCATCAACCCCGCGGCCACGCTCAGCCGCCGCGCATCGCTCCAGCGCGACCCCGGCGCGATGCCCAGTCGTCCCCCGACCAGGGAGCGCGCCAGGTCGGTCTCAATGGCTGCCTACGAGGGCGCAGAGCAGACATCGGCTCATCAAGCCGACGCAAGAAGCAACGAGAGGGCTACCACCAACAACGACGCCGCCTCGCTCCCCTCGCCCTCGCCCCACCTCGACGGTGGCGCCCCGGACAGCGACGAGACCATCCTCGGCCGCATCCAGGACAGCTTCTCGCGCGCCAGCCAGGACGAGTGCCGAACAGAACTCCACGCCGAGGAAGACGAAGACGAGGACCTGCGCCAACGCCCCACAGGCCAGGACGTCGACGCAGACCAAGTCGCACCGCCCAGCCCGAACACATCGCTGGATCGAATCGACACCGGGCTGGGCATCGCTACAAGTCGCGACGCTGACCTCGACGGCAGCCAGTGGCAGTGCACGTCGATGGCTGCACAGACCACCGGCCCTCACACACGCTCCTCGCTCAGCGAGATCAATCCGCACCCTCACACATTTGCAGCGGACGCCACTGCGTTGGCCTCGGAGTCCTTTGGCGCCAGGTCCAACGGCTTCCGCCAAGGCGAGCTCGACGGCGAGTCCGAGGGCGACACCGTCTCGCCCATGAGCACCTGGACGCCCCTCGACGAAGAGGGCCCTGGCGACGACGCCTGGTCGCTGCCCACGACGCCCGACTCGGACCACGCGGTGCTCGAGCTGGCCGCCTCTGACGTCGTCTCGGGTCTGGGCAAGGTCAAGCTGCTCGACCTGAGGCTGAGCGATCCGGATCCCGGCGAGCGCGTCGACGTTGGCTGAAGCAAGCAAGCGACCGCGTCCGACAGCGAGAGGGCGCGAGCAAGCAGGGAGCAGCCGCACCGCCAGAGATTGAAAGAGCCGCCGCACCGCCAAGCCACGGCACATCAACGCGCAGAAGCGTCGATATCCAGCAAAATGACACGGGGTCGGACGCGGCCAGACACGGTCATCGGCCGACCAAAAGAAGCAGCTCGAGAGCGACCCATGCGACATCCCCCGATCCATCCGTCTGTATTTCTATCATCGCATCGCATCGCACCGCATCGTACCGCACCGCACCGCACCACACCGCATCGCATCACTAAGCCGCAACCAGCATCCAGATCGAAGCCAACTTCCGAAGCCATCGCCACCGTCAAGGTCGAGTGCGAAGCGGGAGATTTTTTCCTTTCGAAGGAAGAGACGCGCGTCTTTTGAGATTGGCAGAGAAGAACCAAGGATGTACAAGCGAAGCGGAGCAGGAAAAGAGCGACCGTGACAGACAGACAGACAGAGAGAGAGCAGGAAAAGAGCGACCGTGACAGGACCCATCTAGCAGGACGAGGCGAGGAGACCGTGAAGAGGGCGCGATGGATGAGGACCGGGGACGAGGCGAGAGGGGGAAGGGGTTGGGGTTGGGGGAATGGGGATGAGGATGGGGATGGGGCTGGGGATGGGCTGCGGGCCAGCGCCGTGCGTGTCTAGGCAGCGACGCAGGCGCCGTTGACGACCTTTTGGCCGTTGGCGCAGACGGCGTAGCCGGCGGGGAGGTTGGGGCACGTGGGCGCCGTGGTGGGCAGGGCGATGGCCGAGTCGCGCACGACGCTGAGGGCGTTGGGTCCGCCGCAGATCTGGGCCTTGTTGCCGGCGCAGGCCATGTTGCACGAGTTGGACGTGGCGCCGGGCGCGTAGTTGCTGCAGAAGCACTCGCGGGCGTACTCGGTGCCGCTGAAAGCGAAACCCTTCTGGCTGCACGTCGAGGCGCACATGTTGGCCGTCATGGCGTCGTCGCTGAAGCTGAAGCCGCTGAAAGTGCGCGAAGAGACCGAGTCGACGTAGCAGCCCGCCACGTTGTAGTTGGCCGCCAGCGCCGACGAGGCCGAGACGTCGCCGACGAGCGTGTTCTCGTAGACGCTGTTGGCCCAGTCGCCGCCGCACGTCTCGGTGGCATCGCCCGAGCAGGGCTTGGAGCAGTTGTCGGCGATGTCGGTGGGCTTGATCGACGAGCAGAAGCACTGCGAGCCGTACTGGGTGCCCGAGAAGCGGAAGCCCTTGCCGCCGCAGTAGTTGGCGCACACCTCGTTGGTCATGCCGTTGTCCGACGACGTCGAGTCCGAGTTCATGGTGCGCTCACCGCCGGAGCCGGCCGCGTCCTTGAAGCATCCGACGCTCTGGCCGCCAAACTTGAACGTGACCGGGACAGGGGCGGCTGAGGCGGCAGGAGCAGCGGTGGCAGAGGCGGAGGTCGAGGCCGGGGCAGGGGTCGAGACCGAGGCCGGAGTCGAAACCGAGACCGCGGTTGCGGTTGCGGACGCGGATGCGGTCGAGGTCGACGTCGCGGTGGCGCTGGGCGACGAGACGCTGGCGGCAGTCGAGCCGGTGGCCGAGGTGGTGGCGCCCGTGGCGGTCGCAGTCGAGTTGCCGGCGGCGGCGCTCGTGGCGGTGCTGGCCGACGACGACGAGGTCGAGGTCGAGGCGCCGGCCGACGTCGTGGTGGCGCCGGGGATCGTGTAGCCCTTGAGCGAGCCGCAGATGGGCGTCGTCATCTGGCAGGTGCCGGGCGCCGAGCCGGCGGGAGCGGCGGCGTTGTACTTGATGTTGTAGAGGCCCTTGGAGAAGCCCGTGGCCGAGTAGCCCGTGCCGATCTTGATGTTGATGGTGCGGAGGGCGAACTTGACCGTGAGGGTGTCGGCGGCGTAGCTGCTGCTGTAGATGATCTCGTCGAATTCGAGGACGTTGCCGCCGCCGAAGCCGTAGACGGTGGCGCCGAACTGCGAGTTGCGCGAGTAGACGCCCGTCTCAAAGTGGAGGACGCCGGTGCCGTCGACGAAGCGGATCGACTGGCCGTTGAGGGCAGGGCCGCCCGAGGGGTTCTGGTTGAGGCCGACGCCGGCCTGGAGGTACATGGTCGACTGGCCGCCGACGACCCAGCATCCGGAACCGAGGAAGTTCTGGTTGAGCGTGACGAACGTGTTGCGCATCAGGAAGGCGCCGTTGTTGGTGATGGTCTGGCTGGGCGTGAGGGAGCCGGCGGTGAGGAGCGTGTTCTGGAACGAGGCGATGGCCGTGGCGCTGCCCGAGACCTGGCTAAAGTCGATGAGGCCGTTGTTGACGCAGTTGGAGCTGGAGCAGGCGAGCTGGTAGGAGCTGCCGCCGACGTCGCCGCGGCCGCACCACTGGAGGGTGCCGTCGTTCTGGAGCGAGTTGAGCGTCCAGGCGTAGGCGGGGCTGGTGGTGGCCGAGACGTCGTTGAACGAGATGCTGGCGCCGGCGCGGTTGGTGAGGGCGCCGTTGGTCCAGGTGCTCTGCATGCCGACGACGTTGATGGTGGCATCCGTCTGCGAGGCAATCAGGCTGCCCGAGTTGTCGACGGTGCCATAGACGTTGTGGTTTCCAGGGCCCGAGAGCCAGTAGGTGACGCCGGAGCTGATGGTGGTGGTGGTGCCCGAGACGCCCAGGCCGAGGCTGGCGGCGAGGTTCTTGGTGCTGGTCGAGATGAGGTCACGGCGGCGGAGGCGGGTGGCCGGAGCGCGCTTGAGGCCGTCGATGCTACGGCCCTCGGCGGCCAGGGTGCCGACAGTAGCCAGGGCGGCAATGGTGGCGGGGAGTGCCTTGACCATGGCGACGAGGCGCGGAGAGGGAGAGGGAGAGGGCGGAAAGGGGAAGTAGGAGAGGCGGGCGGGGGAGTCGAGCAGAGAGCAGAGGAGGGCGGGCAGGGGAAGGAGGAGTAGACTGCTGGGGAGAGGATGTGTGTTGGTGTGAGAGATGGGGAGACGAGAATAACTCGAGGCTGCCGTCGTCGTCGGTATTTGTAGCTTGCGAGGTCGAGGATGACTGCCTTGCTACGCGGCGAACCATGATCTCTGTGCTGGGTGCGGTACCGTGCGTTGCCGTTGGGGACCGTATTCTGTGTGCCGGGCAACAGCGGATGGGGACGCTGCAGCGCGCCGTGCTCGGTGGCCGACGGGGCGGCTGGGACATTGCCCGCGGCCGTCCATGGCGGGCCAGAGGAAGACTCGAGTGAGTGGGGATGCGGGGATTGAGGGAATGACGGCGAACGGTTTCAGCCGGGGAGGGCCAGGCAGACCGTGTGTCGACGGCGTTCGGTCTGGAAGAGGGCCATGATGATTGACGATGATGTCGGCGAAGGCGATCAGCGGGCCGAGGATGCGCAAACGAGCGGAGAGGACGGCCAGCGGAAGCGGCCAGACAAAGAAGAGGGCCACACGGCGGCGGCGACGATCACGACGACGACGACGACGGAGGCGGAAGAGGGCGGGATCTGATCGACGACCCGGGCTTTCGGTCGACGAGACAGCAATAATGTTCCAGCTGCGCGGTACTCGGGGCCAGACCAGGGCCGGGGCAGCGCGTGGGGCAAGGGGGTCCTGTCAAGCAGGCCGCAGGCAACAGAAGGAAGAAAGGACAGTGGCGGCGGTTGCGGCAGCGGCGGGGGTGCCGACAGGTGATGGCCGCGGGAGAGAGAGGGGATGGGGGAGGGTTGAGGCAGAGAGGAAGAAAGGCAGGCGGGCCGAGTCCGGGCCCTGTTTCGGCGACTGAGTCTTAGGTGGCGGGCTATCTGTAAAGCGCGGCCCATGAGGCGTGGCTGGCCCGTTGGCGAGCCGGCTGCCGTCCCCAATTCCGTCACCGAGAGCGGCACCGGAACATCCGCCCAGGATCGCGTCCGGCTACTTACATCACTACTCTCTGAGACTCGTCGCTGCGGCGCGGATGGAGGCAGCGGTGGCGCCCACAGTGAGCAGCAGGCGCTGTCGTCAAAATGTCTCGCGGACCATACAGCGCACAACGCCGGCCCCGAAGCCAGCCAAACGAGGTCAAACGAAGCCAAGCCAGGCCAAGACCAGGCGGGGCCGAGGACAAGGTGCATGGTGGCGCCCCGAGACGAGACAGGACACCGAACAGCTACGTACGTCAACCGCAGGGCCGGACGCCAGTCAGCGGGGCTCGTTTAGAATGTCTGGCTGGCTGCGGCAGACGGACGGACGGATGCTGCACCACCACCACCTGCCGCAGTCCTCCGAGACGGGTCCAGAGTCAGCCCTGGTCGAGCTCTGATCTGCCTGCCACACTGGCACCACCCCTTGCACGGACACGACCGTGCGGTCCAGTGTCTCTCTCCTGCGCTCGCGCCATGCATCTGCTCTCCGCCTGGCTCCGCCCCGCGAAACACCGTCCGCCTGGTTCAGGCACGCCCAGGTCCGCTCAAACAGCAAGCAAGCAAGCAAGCCGCAAGCACGCCAAGCACGCCGGATGCGTCTGGGGCGGTCCTTGCGCGTTGGGCAGGCAGGCCGGCTGTCTGTTGGCAGGTTGCCGCTGCGCCCTCTCAAACGCCGATGCCGGTTCGCTGCACGTCGATCCCCGCCCGTCTGCGCCCTCGCCCGCGTCGTCTCCGCCCTGCCAGCCACGCGGGCCGGAAAAAGCCTAACGAGCCCGAGGGTCCAGAACCTTGTCTCTCTCCTCCTCCATCGCCGTCGACGCCACCACCACCACCACCACCACCACCTCCTCATCCTCCGCTACCGCTACTTCCTAGAGAATGTGCGCCCGCCGAAGATGGCCTGCTGGAAGCGTATCGGATGGTGGTGGGGGTCTACCTTCATGCTGATCGAATGCGGATCGGACTGGGCCAATAGTCGGCCCGCACTTGTCGGCGGATCCGAACCCGGCTGGCTTGCTCCCGGTACCGTGGCCTGCTTCCCGGTCCGCTTGCGGTCCTCAGCTGGCTCGGCCCTCTTCCGGCTGGCTGCGCTTTGGGCACCACCACGCACCTTGGTATCGCCCGTGAAGATACAGAGGTCGCGTGGCCACGGATCCCCTCCCGCTTCTTCCTTCCCTTCGCAGGAGAGCCATCCGGCCGTCGACTTAGCTTCATCACTCCTAAGCCTCTCTCGCGGCTCGATTTGCGTTCGAAGGCGTCGCCCGGCTTGAATCCCATGTCCGGCGTAGGCCCTCATTCCGGAGCAAGACAAGGTTTGCTACCGTGCGTACTGGCATCGTCTCACGGCCCGAAGCACGTTCGCGACCCACACAGGCGCTCAGGCGATAGGGCCGGATCGCCCGGATCCGTGCTCCGTCTAAGTTGGTTCAGCTCGGCCGTTCCTATCCGGTGAATTGGGCGGCCTGACAGGTACCCCCAGAACCTACCTCCGCTTCCGAAGAGGGTCGCTAGGTACGGGTATGACCATGCGAGCGGTCAATCACGCCCCTGAGCTGCCGGCTGCACACCCCTTTCGACCCGCCCCATGAGCTGCTGGTCAGGTGGTGAGCACCACCTAGTCGCCATCCTCGACGCTCGCACCCTCGAATCAATTGCTAGCGCCCCGTCTCATTTAATCAACCCTGCCCCGTCAGTGCCTAATTGCAGGCTAAACTCGGCCCTCTCTCCTATGCCTACTCACACTCGCCTGTCGTCCTCCGCTGGTGACTCGCCCCTCCCTCTCCCCATTTGGAGATCCTCCTTACTTCCCCCCTAGCCCAACCATACAGTGCCATTACGCGTAGATCCCTCCAATCATGGTCCATCGATGACGATGATGACATCCACCTCGGTCCTTGCTTATTCTTGGAGCCGGTCGTAAGGGAGCGCGGGGGTGGCACCGAGCCGAGCGGGCGTCTCTTACCCGCCGGCTCTCCTCGACGAGGTCGTGAATGCTCCTCAAAGCCGCTCGTTATGGTGTGGCACGAAGTCACTTCCAGCACGGAACGAGCATGCCCGTGGTAATGCGCACCACGCTGGACCGAAAGCTGCCTGTGGATGACACGAGCAGAGCCCTCCAAGCCACCACCGCCTCTACGAACCTCAACCTCTTCGCAATGAATCCAGCAGCGGCCATGCCCATCACGCTCGTCGAGGGACGTTCTGCATGCTCATTTCCTGGGAATCAGCCTCAACCATCTTTCATCTTGCTCCTCTTCGAGATGCTGGCTGGAGCCTTTCACGTCGAACACCATCAAAGACGTCGGGTCTCCGTTGCTTTGCCTTCCGCCGACCTGGCCCATCCTTTCCGGCCGACCCTAGATTGCACTTTGAGTGCTGTCCGGCGATCCGTGCCGGGCGCTGCTCACGCTCCCCGCGGTGAACTTCCTCTCGCTCGACCATCGAGAGCGATGCTGCAGAGACTCAACCGCTTGGCAAGAGGCGGCGGGATGAGCACCTGGACGAGCCGACACCATGGACGAATGCTATTAGAGGCCCTGCACTCGAGTCCTCGTCTATGCCGTTCGCTCCTCATCCACTCTCACACTCCATCTTCAGCTCACTCTAGTCCACTTTTCTCCTTCGGAATCTCTCAATTCGCTTCAAAGACTCGCTCACTCTCATCCCTCACCATGAACGCCCTCGTCAAGTTCCTCCTCGTCGCCGCGCTCTGCGCCCCCGCCACCCTCGGCGCGCCCGCCGCCCCTGCCGCCCTCGGTGCCCATGCTGAAGAGAGTGGCAAGCCCGCCACCCTCGGCGCCCTTTCTGAAGGGAGCGGCGAGCCCGCCACACACGGCGCCTCTGCTGAAGAGAGCGATGCCCCCGCCGTCCTCGGCGCTGCTGCTCATGAGAGCGGCGAGCCCACCGCCCTCGGCGCCTCTGCTGAAGAGAGCAGTGAGCGATACTCCTACGGAACGACTAACGATATCCATCTGGTTCGCCGTCAGAGTGAGTGCGCCGGCCCGGAGCGCCATGCTATGGCCATCGCAGGCCGCTGGACGCTCAAACTGACTGCGTAACCGCATGCTTTCCCCCCTTCCCCCCCACACGTGGCCCCGCGCCTGCCTCGCGCTCAGCCGACAGCTCCGAAGACAACTACGAGTCGGCGCTGTGCGGCCACCCGTCGTACGGCCTGGAGGATGAGATCGGAAAGTACTGCTCGGGCGGCCTCCAGCGTGACGTCCTCAACCAGTACGTCTGCTTCTACGACGCGCGCAAGGACGATGGCTCCGGCGAGCAGCGCAACAGCGAGGTCAACAACGCCTTCCAGAAGGCGTGCACCGACCGCGGCGGCATCTACTACGACCAGGGCAAGCGCGGACGCAAGCAGGTCGTCCTCGAGTCCCAGGGCGGCGGCGTGCTCGCCACGTGCAACGACGCCCAGGTCAACCTCATCTACACGCGCATCTCGACCGTGCACAGCCTGTGCGGCGGCGGCGCCGACTACGACGCGTGCATCACCAAGCTCGGCGGCGATGCCAAGAGGACGTTCAAGAAGGCCTGCACGCACGCTCTTGGCCACGAGGGCTACAACTACGACGACTACCTGTAAGAGGGTGAATCGCCTCGGTCGCGGCGGCCTGACGCGTTGGCTCGTCTGCCAAAGTGCGCGCAACAACCCGGCATTGACATCTCCCCGTTGTCGACACCAGCTGTTGGTTCGACGGAGGCGGCGACGATCATTCTCTCATCCTCGCAACCGCTACCTTCGATCCCTCGCCAATCCAGACCTTCGATCTAGGTCGCCCCCCTCTCCTCTATGTCACGCTTCTCCCGATCGATCCATTCCATCCACCAGTCCTCCCCATGTCCCGTCTCCCCCTTGCTCACCTTCCAATCTAAGCCCAACACCCTTCTCTGCGAGGTCGACAGCCGGCTCCTACGAGATGCCAGCTTGGGCTCCCTCAATCGAGTGCTTAGAGTCCAAGACGCGCGATAGCACTCCAGCCTCCGTTGCGCGACCTGCCGCTGTTGTCCGATCAAGCCTGTGGAAGGGACGAGTTCGCCTTGACGCCACCGGTTCATCTTCGCCTCCGAAGAAGTCGTCGAGACACATACGTATGTTGTGATGCACAAGCCCAGAAAGAGGCGATGCGGCGGTTAAGAATATGGCAAAGCAAAAGGTCGAAGGGGATGAGAGTGGCAGGGAGGAGAACCGTGCGCGGTGCTTGACAGATCTGCATATGCATGTGCGTGGGGTCAGCGCGGGGGACGGGGGAAGGCGGGGGAAAACGCGGACGGACCGAGAGGTCGGTCTGCCTGCCTCTCGGCTTCTTCCTGGGCCCTCTCTGGCTCGCTCGTCTCCGTCCATCTCTCCCGCACGCACCTCCACCATCGAGACCGACACCCGATGCTCGCCCCCCTTCTCGGACGATCACTTGCGCATCCCACGTCATCCATCCCCGCCACATCCGCCGCAGTCCTCGGCAAGCTGGCAGCAGCGCCCCTTTGGAACGCCTCGCGCCCGTCGCCGTCTTCGAGAGCCTTCTCGTCGATCCTTGCCCGGCCAAGACCTCTCACACGACCTCAGCAGCATCCCTGCAAGCCTCGTACGTTGTCGATCACCACTACTGTCACAGTAGCAGCAACCAAGATGCAGCGACGCAAGGCAGACAAGCCCTCGTCCGACGCCAGCGCGGCCAAGGCGGCACGGCGCGAAGAGGTCCAGTGCGCCCACTGCGAGGAGAAGCCCGGCACACTGACGTACAAGAGCTACCTCGACGGCAAGGTAGAGGTCTGCAACGAATGCCACGACTTTCTGACGAAGCCCTACAGCCGCGTCGTTCGCTTCGATCCCGCGTCGACGACGCAGGTCTGCTACGGCGTACCCGCCGACCCGGACCAGGACATCGGCCTCGCCATTGCACGCGGAGAGACGGTCCTCATCGATACGCTCAGCGGTCCCTCGCTCTTTGAGCTCGGAGACCGCTTCGGAGGTCATAGGGAGTCTGCGGACGTCATCCTCAGCCCGCTCGACGAGGACGAGATCGGTGCTATCCGGTGCATCGGCCTCAATGTGAGTTGGGCGCGTCGAGACGGCAGCCCCGAGCCGGGACGAGCTCCACTCGGCCGACGCCCGCTGACATCTTCTCGACGATCCCTTCCACGACTGAACAACAGTACAAGAACCACGCCGAGGAGTGCAACCTCCCCATCCCCACGGTTCCCACCCTCTTCCTGTGAGTCTGGAGGGCGAGGATTCGTGGCCTCGCATCTCCTTCCGCACGCCTGTGTGTGATGCGATGCGAGGACAGAACAAGCTGGCTGATCACCCATGCCCTCTTCCGCTCGCCCTCGACAACTTGGCCACGACCGCTTTCAGCAAGGGAGAGAATGCGCTGGCCAGCCCGTATCCGGCTGAGACGACCGTCGTGCCCAAGGCGTTTGTCAAGGACGACGCGGCCGACTACGAGTCCGAGATCGTGCGTTGGCCGATGCGACCTTGTCGCCGCAGAACCGTCGTCGCTGTGACCGGCGGCTACGGGATCTCAACCGCCGCCGAGCGCTCCTGCTGACTCTCCTGCCCCTATGCACCTGTCCATTCATCGATCCCAGGCCATCATCATCGGCAAGCACTGCAAGGACGTGAGCGAGGAAGAAGCGATGGATTACGTCTTTGGGTTCGTCTCGCCGCTCCCCCTCGCCCTCCTTTCCGCCTCGGTCTCTGGTTCCATCGTCGCACTTGCTCACCCCGATCGACCCCCCTCTCGTCTCGACCCTGCCTCTGTGCGCAGCATCACTGCGGCCAACGACATTTCGTCGCGCAAGGCGCAGTTCGCGCAGTCGCAGTGGTGCTTCTCCAAGTCCTTCGACGGCGCTTGTCCGGTGGGGCCGTGCGTTGTGCTGCGTTCGGCCATCGACGACTGGGCCAAGGTCAAGGTGACGGGCACGCACAACGGCAAGGTCGTGCAGGAGAGCACGCTCGAGTGCGTATCACGGCGTGGGCGTGCCAGTCAGAAAGAGAAAGGAAGGAAGCTGACGAGACCTGACCTGACCTGACCTGACCTGACCGCTCTGCTCTCGACCCTCTTGCTGCTCCGTCCTTGGGGATCTTTCGACGACAGCGACCTGATCTTTTCGATTCCCAAGATTGTCTCGGTCCTGTCGCAGGGCACGACGCTGCGACCGGGTACATTGATCCTGACCGGGTGCGTAGCCGACCGAGCGATGGCGGGAGGTAGAAGTGGGCACTGACGCCGGCACTGACACTGCCTGGGCTTACCTGATTTCAATCCGCTCCGGTGTTGCTGTTGCTGCTGCTGCTGCTGCTGCTGCTGCTGCTGCTGCTGCTGCTGCTGCTGCTGCTGTGCTACAGGACTCCCGCTGGCGTTGGCTGGATGCAGGAGCCCAAGAACACGCTTCAGGACGGCGACGAGTTCCACGTCTCGGTCTCGCATGGCGTCGGCACCCTCGTGAGCAAGATTGAGTTTGAGAAGTAACTAGCCCGGCGCGAGCGTGCAGGGCCGAGGGGGGGCTGGGCTGCGCTGCTCTGCTTTCATCGAAGTTGGTGTGTTGCGCCGCCATCGCCACCGCTGCCGCCGTCGACGTGGTCATGATGACGCAAGTTCAGAGCCCTGCCAGTACGTGCTAGGTCGGGGGGAATCGATGTGCCTCTAGAGTAGTCAGACTCAACCGGGGATTGTTGGAAACTGACCCGCCGAGCGGGAGGTCTGGAAGACGTGCACGGCAGGCCATGAGCCGAAGGGAAGGGAAAAGTGCAAAGTGCTGCCGCCGCCGGACAGGCCAGGCCAGGCCAGGCCAGGCCAGGCCGCGCACGTGCGGCAGAGGAAAAAGCGACACGACCGCACCTAGACGCGGCTTGGCGGGCGGGCGAGATTTTTGGCGGGGGCCAGCTCAGCTCAACTCTCGGGTTGCGGAGGATGGGTGGCAGGCCAGACCAGGCCGGGCGGGGTCCATCCAACACGACAGCACCCACCCAACACGGCTGGCAGGGCTCTGCCTGGCCTGCCTCCACCACCAACACCAACACCACCAGCACCACCGCCAGCACCTTCATTGCCGCCACCAGCATCCACATTGCCACCGTCGCCGTCCGGAAAACCTCATCTACGTCCGATACCGCTCTCGCCGGGCCCTCTTCGCCAGCACCACTTTCTGAGCCGCTTGCTGGACTCGCATTCTCCACGAGCTTCGGGCATACATCCGCATCCCGCCTGCGGCTGCCCAACTCACCAGGCCGACCCATCCGCTCCTGATCTTGCCGCTTCCCGGACTCTCCGGATCGCACACACACACAGCCATGCCGCGCAAAGCCCGCGCAGCGACCAAGGCGACCGACGAAAACACCATAGACCTCGTCTCGGACGCCGATCCCCAGCCCGCCTCGAAATCCTCGTCCCGCTCCAAATCGTCGTCGTCATCGGCGGCAGCAGCAGCGGCTTCCTCGTCCGGAAAGTCGACGACGGCGACAAAGACGAAAAAGGCAGCGGCGACGTCCAAGAAGAAGAAGCAGCCCCTCTCGGCCAGGTCCGACAATGCGGCGGATGCAGACGACGACGACAACGACGACGACGACGGCGACGACGATGACGAACAAGAGGCGGAGGTGATCAAGACCCCGACCAAACCCAAGCCCAAGACGACGAGAGGGAGAAAGGCGAAGAAGGTCGCCGTGCAGCAGCAACAAGACGACGAGCCGACCGTCGTCACCCCGCAGAAGATCCCAGAGGACCAGGTCAAGACCTTTTTGGACAACTACGACCTCGAAAGTGAGCGCCAAGCGGCTCAGCGCCGGCCTTTCCTTGGTCCTAATCTCGCAGATTGAACGCATAGGGCTAACTTGTGACGTCCATGCTTGCCTCCCTTGCCCCGTCACCTTCGACCGTCTCCGTCCGCCCCCTCGCAGCGCACGAACGCCTGACACGGCTGACCGCCACCCTGGAGCTGACGATCCAGTCGGCCCAGACGTACATGGACCTGTCGCTCTCGCGCATCCCGCGCGCCGTGCGCGAGCTGACGCTGGCCGACTTCATCGACGAGTACGGCGCCGATATCCACGCCTTTATGGGGCGCGCGCCCACAAAGGCGCTCGAGCGGAACCGCAAGGAGTGGGAGGAGATCAAGGAGAGCTCGTCGCCGCGCAAGAAGCGCAACGGCGACGCGGGCGAGGACAAGGGCAAGAGGGCAAAGAGGGGCAAGGCGGGTGAGTTGGATCGTTGCAGAGCGCGGAGGCGGACGCGGTGCGATGCGATGCGGCGCAGGATGGACAGCAGCCGTCGGCCTCCGCCCCTCTGACACTGTCTCCTCCCTCCTCTCCCGCATCCACGTCGACCATTTGCTCCATCAGCCAAGCCGACGGAGGCGCCGGCCTCGTCGTCTGCTGCCGGTCCCTCTGGTACATCTGGGTCGACGACGACGATGGGCAGGGTCCGCACAGCGAGGCGCTCCCGACTCGCATCGTCGGCTTCGGCCTCGGCCAACAGGGTGGGTCTCGGATACTGCCCCTCCTTTTTGCTCTTACCCACTCTCAGGCCTCGTCCTGCATCGGTACTGATCCAGTCCGGATCCCATCCCCTCCCCTTCTGCCACCTCTTCGACTCGTCAACGCAACGCGCTACGACAGGCGACGTCTCCACCAGCACAGGCCCGGCGTCCGGCAACGGCCACATCGGCATCCGCATCGACGTCGTTGAGACCCTTCCCGACGCTCGACACGTTCTCGCCCTCGCTGCCCGCCCTCGCCGCCACGCCGCCCCCTGCCGCCGCTGCGGCTTCGACGACGGGCACCCGCGGAGGCCGCGCGGCGCAACCGGGCGAACTGCTCCACTACCTCTCCGTCAATGGCTCGCCCATCTGCGGCGTCCTTGGTCCCGATGGCGTCGTCAGACCCGTCAGGTTCCTCGATCGTGACCCCGCTGCCCGATCCGGTACCGGTGTCGCCGCTGCGGGTGCAGGTGCGGGTGCTGGGGCAGGTTCGGGGAAAAAGAGGACGACGGCCAGCTCATTGGTCGCCGCTGCGGCTGCTTCCGTCAGGAAAAAGAAGTAGCACACCCGACCGACCGACCGACCCTCGTTCCCCACTCCCTCTCTGGTTCTGGTTATGGCAGACGATCGTAGATCTGCAGAGCATGTTGGTATTGCGTCTCCCTTGGGGGGTCCCTCACCCACCTCCCCCTTTGTTGGTATACAGCGCGCGACGCTCGATACAACGACGACGAGCGACGAGCGACGGCGCGCGAATAATCCATCCCTTCCTTCGATCCTTCCCTCCATTCGTGCATGTCCACCTGCCTGTCTGGTCCACGAAGACGACGACGACAACAGCGACAACGACGACGACGACGACGATGTGCACTACCGCACCGCACCGCACGGTGACCATCACAGACGGAGGTCCTGCCGCCCATGTTCGAGGTTACGCGCGACGAGACGGAGCCACTCGACGGTGCCTCTCTCGTAGGTCCTGATCCGGCTCGGACCCTGGACAGCCGGGACCGATGCGGAGCGCGCCTGGTCGACAAAGAGGGTGTACGGGTGCGGCTCCTTGGGCGGCAGGAAGGGGAGCGACTTGAGCCCGCCCTCGAGCGTGATGGGCTGCCACTCGCGCGAAAACGGCGGCAGGATCATGGGCGGTTCCCAGTGCTGCTGCGGCGCGGCCGACGACGACGAAGACGATGAAGGTGCTGCCGATGCGCTTGCGGATGCGCTGGCTGATGACGATGCGGCTAGGCTGCGTCGGGATCGCTTGGTGGCGCGCGCATCGAGCCCTTCGCCGCTGCGGGTGGGCACGTAGTTGGACAGGGCGGGCGGCGCGGACGCAGGCGAGGCGGGCGGCGTGTCTTCGTAGTCGTGTTCGTTGCGCCTCGGCCGACGCCCTCTCCCATCGCCCTCCTCGCCTCCCTCGTCCTCCTGGCCGTCGTCGCTGATGTCCGACGCGCGCTCGCGGTAGTCGCCCACGTCCCAGTTGGGGCAATCTGCGAGCTCCTCTCCTCGCACGTGGTAGACGGCGATGGCAAAGTGGATGGGGTAGGTGATGTCGAGGATCTTTTCGCGCACGCGCCGCCAAAAGGTGCGCGGGTAGGTGCGGCCTCCGTTTTTGGAGCTGGCGTCGGTCAGGTGGATCTCGTAGAGCTGGAGGTTGGGCAGTGCGACGCTGTAGAGGCGCATGCGGGCCTTTAGGGACCTTGCGACGTGGCGCGACGAGCTGCAGTGCACCATGTAGGTGGAGCTGAGGAAGCGGTGGTCGGGGAGGGCGGTGGCGGCCATGCGGCGGATGATGGCGCGGCCGGTGTCGCCAAAGGCCTGCCTTGCGAAGCGGTCGACGGTGACGACCTGGGTGGTGGTGTCGTTGAGGAGGTCAAAGCTGCCGTGGCCGTGGTTGTCGCCGCGGACGAGCTTGGGTGCGCCGAAGCGGATGCGGCGGAGAAAGTGCATGGGCTGGAGGACGGACTCGTGCCACTCTTCGTAGCCGTGGAAGTCGGTGTCGACCCACTGGAGGCGGGAGAGGGCGCCGCGCGGGAAGTCGACGGGGGACGCGTCGGTGAGGTCGACGTTTGCCTGGAGGTTGCGCATGTAGAGGATGTTTGGGCAGCGGTGGAGGAGCGTCTTGTACTGGCGGCTGGATGCGCAGGGCTGGTCGGAGCGGGTGACGGGCAGGTCGAGGGCGATGACGAGCTTTCCGAGCGAGGGGTTCGAGGTGATTGCGTCGCAGAAGGACTGGATGCGGCGGTTGAGGGTGACGAGGTCGGTGGGAGGGGTGCGGGAGCGGGTGCGCGGGCGCGACGACGACGTCGAGGCCAGGTGCTTGGTCGAGGAGGCGGCGGTGGCCGAGGTGGATGGGGGCGAGTTCCAGTGCGATGCAAACAGGACGGTGCGGTAGAGGGCGGCGCGGCTGGGCTTGAGCCAGGATCGGCGCACAAGGCACACAGGCAGCCAGATCGGCGGGGTCGGCGAGGTGGGCGGCGCAGACGGGGATGAGGTCGACGAGCTCGGTGGGCAGCTCAGCCAGCCATGTCGGTGGGGGTGGTGGCAGGTGTGGCAGGTGTGGCAGGTGTGGCAGGTGTGGCAGGTGTGGCTGCCATGGCGAGGCAGCTAGCGCTGCTGAAGAGGATGTTTGTGGTGGCGGTGCCGAGAGGGGATGGCTGGCGGTGGGCGGGGAAGCGTTCGACGACGATGACGAGGCCGACGATGACGACGACGAAGAGGCGACGACGCTGCTCGAGTCAGGGATGCGCGGGTAGTAGCGGGTGGGGTCCATGGCTGCTACGGAGGGCGAGCCAAAGGGGCGAGCGAGGATGATGGTCGCGGGAGAGGAGGAATCGAAGAGCCAGGGAGCGGGGAGCCAGGGAGCGAGGAGCGAGGAGTGATGGAGCGGCCAACCACCTCAACGATGGCCAGCCCAGGGCCGAGGCAGCAGGGAAGGTTAGGTAGATGGGCCAGGTGGTTGGCGGTGGCAGGCCAGGGTGGCCATCCTTAGGCTGAGAAGAAGCCCAGGCGAGGCAGAGGGAGGCCAGGCAGGCCAGGCAGGGAAGCGTCGATTGGCCGCACCAGATCGAGCTGTCAAGCTCGGCAAGACGCCCATTGCGTCCACCCCGACGCGGCCCACGCCGTCGGACTTGGGTCCAGCGCCTAGCCTCTCTGCTCCTCATTTTATCGTGCGAGACGTGGGGCCGCGCCATGCCACCCATCTCGGCCACGCCCCGCTCGCCTGCCTCGACCATATCACTGCCTCTCTCTCTGACCTGACGCGCGCAGGCTCAGCACCCCTTTTTCGGATGCATGCCGAACCACATCTTCTATCGGAGCGTCTAGGAGCATGGCCTGGCGTGGTGGGCCCAGCTGGTCAGCCTCGATGAGGGTACCCCTGCATCCCAAAGGCGCGCGCCTCGCTGCCGCCGCCACCCTCCAGACCACCACCACCGTGGCAGCATGCCACCCCCACGCATCCAGCCAGATGGTTTGGCTGCGCATCCCTTTGGCCTTCTGCCGTGAAAGCCTCTCCCTGACTGGGCTCTGGTCGTAAATAGACCGGACAGCTTCCCTCCCCCTTCACCACCTTGCTCCTCACCACCACCACCACCACCACCAACCCACCCTCTCTCGTCCCGTAGCCCCCTTCTCCTGTCCCTTGCCCTCCTGCATCCCCATCACTCTCGCTCTTCCCATCATCAGTCTGAGTGACACCCCCCTCCTCCTCGATCTCCGCTTCACGCGCCATGGCACACCTGCCCTCCAAACTTGTGCCACCCGCACCCGCGCCCGCCGCCGGCGTCGGCGGCAACGCCACCACCCGTGTCGACACCAACGCCATCCCCGCTGCCTCATCCCCCATCACGCTCACAGCCCCACCTGTCCCCAAGACGGACGCTCAGATCGACTTCGAAGCCCCCTTCCACGGCAATGCACACCATCACCTCGATCGCCACATCCAGGACCAGATGCGTGCTTACTCCTCACGCTCGCATTTCGGCCGCATCATCCCCATCATCCAGTCGCCGGGGACCGGCAAGTCCAGGACCTTTGACCAGACCATCCGCACAATACACCCTGGTCTTCACATCTCCCTCGATTCGGAAGCGGCCTGGCCGCTCTACGACCTCGAGATGGCCAGCTGGCTCTGCCGCCACGGCGTACCTGCTGCCCATCCAGGCTCTGGTCGCGCGGGTGACGGCCTCGGTCCCCACTGCTACCCGGTTCGCACATTCGCACTCGTATGGATCGAGGCCATAGCTCACTGTGCAGCCGCAGAAATCCAGGCAGCCTTGCCGACAGACGAGCAGGGCTGGCCTATCTCCGACGACTCGCACCACGGACCGCCGCCGGCTTCGTTTGCAGCCATCTTCTACAACCACATGGAAAGCGCCGTGGCGGCGTCTCCCTCCGTCTCCTCTCCCCCCTCGACAGACACGCGGCGTAGGCGCCTCTTGCAACACGTGTCGGCCCGTCTCCACCAGCACGCGCACCTCATCACAAAGCCCACCAACGATGCCGTCATCAGCCTGCGCCAACGCGCATCCAAGGCGCTGAATCGTTTCGAGGCCGCCATGTCAGCCGCCGAGGAACGCCAACACAGCGCCACCGGCAGCCAGGACCGCATCTTCTTCCTCCTGGCCCTCGATGGCGCTGCGCTCGTGGAACCCGCCCTCTTGTCCGAGCTTCGTTTCCAGCTGTTCATCATGGAAGGCTACGAGCTGCCTTTCTGCCCTCATCTCGTGCTCGTCCTCATCGGCTCCAGCACATGCCTCGTCTCCGACGACAGGCCCTCGGTCAGCCTGATGCCCGGCGGAAACTACGAGGACAGGATGCTGCTGCCCGAGTTCAGCTTCCTGCCTTATGGCGCCGCCTTCCGGGATCTTGCCCCGGACGTCACGTCTCCGCACGGCAAGAGGTGGCAAGTCCTGCTCTGCCTGCTGTCGAAAAAGGGCAGGCCGCTCCTCGACACCCGGCAGGTCAAGGTCGACTTTAACACGCAGTCGCTGGCGAGCATCACCTCCCTTGGGCCTCTCGTCGGGGCCGTCTCGTTGCACAAGCTCAAGACGGCGTTGCTCAATGCAAGTGGCAGGCGCCTGGCCCATATCTCTTCGTCGTCGTTCGCGCTCGCGATCCGAGAGACTACATTTCCTCCGTATCAGGAAGTCAAAATGTTCGCCGGTGTGGACCAGAATCTGGCAGTTCTCGGCAAGAGGCTTTGCCTGCGCTTCGAGGGCGGGCGGGGCATGTTCGAGATCAGATGCTTCCTCCAGCGCCAGGTAAAGTGCCACCTAGGCACAGTCCGCCGCGTCCGGCCAGAGTCCTTGACGCCCGAGATATCGGCGCCCTCGGAGCCCCTGCTCAGCCTCGCCGCCGCCGACCTGTTCCGGCAGCAGGACCAAGAGCCGGGCTGCTATGACAACTCAGAGACGGTCTCGCAACGCTGGAAGTCGGCCATCCACACGTTGCGGATCGCGCATAAATTCTACGGACTCCAGGCCGGTCCCAAGGGGGAGCTCGTCGTGTGCCTCCTCCTGGCGCAGGCAATCGACTATGCCGTCGTTCAGAAGCTGCGTCACGAGTACGGGCGCAATGACGCGCGCTTCCGCGACGACATTACCGACTCGACCATCAAGATGGACTGGAGGCTGGGCGGTACCCTCGAGCCCTGCTCGTTGGGAAGGTGGCTGGACCAGCTGTTTGGCGAAGGCCCCCTCGACGCTGCCCTCGATGGCTACGAGACCAGGGTCAAACGGGACCTGGAGCGGAGACAGAGCGAAGCCGTCGTAGAAGCGGCAGGGGCCACGCCGTCGCAAAAGACACCTGCGCCGGGCAAGCTGTCGAATACGAAGGGGCTCCGGTGGATCAAGAATCGACTCTATCACAGCCGGATCAACTTTACGCACTTTGTGCCGCTCGGCGACGGACCGATCGCGACCATCTCCAAGGATCAGCTCGCCAGGCTCTTCGTCGATCACGCCGCGCTCCTCGTCACCGGGTCTCGCCAGGCGGGCTGGGACATCTTGATCCCCGTCCTCGAAGGTGGCGAAGGCTGGGACCGCGACGAGACCATCATCAACGTCGACAACTTCACGTTTCTCGCCGTTCGGATCGTCAACCGCTTCGACTTCCCTTTCGATGCTCCAGAGTCGTCTTCGGAGTCGGCACGGAACCTGAACGAGCACGACTGTCGTGTCAGTCCCCCTCGACTCATCGGCGAGGTGACGCCGCCGTCGTACTATACGGAGCCGGTCGAGTTCTCGCTGTCCATCGAGCTGGAACACCGGCCTCGCAAGAAAGAGGCCGCGTGGCGGTCGGGATCCTCTTCGGCACCGACAGGGCCGCCGTCGTCGTCGTCGTCGCCGTCGTCTTTGCCGGCTCTGAGCTACGACCCACTGAGCAGCGAAGATGGACAGCGGAAAAGGCTCCACTTCCATGCCCGTGGCCTCGAGGCATTCGCCTGCGCCTCTGACAGGAGCGAGCAAAACGAGAACCTCTACGCGCTCATGGGCGTCATCAAGATGCGTGATCGCACCGATACGGAGTGGGAGCGCGTCGATCGAGAGGCTTGGCTCACGCTGCAGGGACGGTACACGCTGTACGAGCCGGCTCCTCCCATTGCCGTCGCCGTCGCCGACGACGCAACTGCCTCCGCTTCTGCCTCTGTCTCTGCCTCTGCAGCTGACCCGGCTACAACGACTGCCGCCGAAGCTTCCGCTGCCGACGCTCCGGCCGGAGACGCTCCGGAAAATTCACACGACGCACCCGCCGACGAGCCCATGGACGAGGCGCCCGACCAGCCCGCCGACCAGCCCGCCGACCAGAGTGTGGAAGGCGCCGGAGGCAGCACCGACGAGCCGGTCGACGAGGATGACGGCCGCGACGAAGGCGATGATATCAAGGTCGGCGACGCCGCCTACTGACGATGCCCGTCAGGTCCACCCTTGCTGCCGCCGCCGCTGCCATCCCTCAGGCCGCGAACACGACCTGTTCGCCGTCGACTTTGGCGGTGTGGACGACGGTGCCCTGGTCGGCGCTGGTGCAGGTAAACACCTGCGTGTGCTGCTGCGCGGAGGGGAGGGGCTTGTCGAGGGTGAAGCTGAGGTCCTTCCACGACCATCCGCAGTCGTTCTGGTTGGCGTGGTCGCCGATGCAGCCCGAGTAGAAGGCAAAGGTGTCGAGGTGCAGATCCGCATCGGACGGGCGGGCGCTTCGGTAGCGGGCGGCGGGCACGTCCGATCCGCCCAGCCTGGTCCCGACCTCGAGGTGGCGGGCCGTGGCGTCAAAGTAGATCTGTGGCGACGTGCGCAAGTCGGTCACGGTCGTCGAGACGATGCCGGCCTTGGCGTACGCCGCCGTGAGCGGCGGGTGCAGGTCGATGTTGACCTCGCGCTTCCACTCGGGCGCCCCCGATCCGCGCGCCGTCGGGTTGTAGACGGTCACGAAGGGCTCGGAACGCTGTCCGTTCTGCGCACTTTCTGATGTGGCACCCGGTCGAGGGATAGGATCGAATCGACGACGATGACAGGGTCAGAGGGCGAGGGAAGATGAATGGTCAGGGTATGTTAGCCTTTACATCCTCTCCGTCCCCTCGCGATGCGGTTGCGGATGCGAAGCGACGCTGCGGTGGAGCGAGCGATTCCGGGCGGGTACGTACGATCAAAGAGCATCGAAGCGTGCCATCCGGAACTGTAGAAGATATCGGATCCCAAGGTATACTCTGCGCGGTCGACGAGGAAGCCGCGCGGCGCGGTGTAGGTGCAGTTGCGGGACGATACGCCGCGGGAGGTGGGATCAAAGAGACCGGGTTGGGTCGGGTCCCTCGCTGTCGCCTTCGCCTTCGTCGTCGGGTTGTTTGAATTGGGGCTGGAGAGGGTGGTGTCCTGAGTTGGTGGCTTGTTCGGACCGACTGCGACTGCAGCGATGGAGGAGAGGGAGAGGGAGAGGTAGGCGACGAAGAGGGGTACGAGTCGAGACATTGTTGCGTGCCGTGTGGACGGATGGGTGGGTGGAAGAGGAGGAGGGCATCAAGAAAAGGAGCCCTGTGGGGGGATGAGGAGCGCAGTTTTATACCACCCGCCCTCCCCTCCCCTTCGACCTAGGATGACTCAATGCGCGAAGAGAAGCTCGAGAGTTAGGTAGGTAGACGTGGTAGCGTAGCCTAGACCCACTCCCGAGACGAACGAGCCAAGGAAGGAGGATGCGGGGCGGAGCGGGCCGGTCCCTCCCTCAATGGCACACGGGGTCCAAGAACTCGTCAAGTCAGGACGATACGAGACGAGACGAGACGAGACGGGGACGGAGACGGGGACCCAGGCCAAGGTACTGTACGTTTCTGGTCTCTTTCAGCCCGCGCCCTCATACGTACAGGACAGACGGTCCACTCGCGTCGTGTCCCCGCCATTCCGAGCCGAATCGACCTCGGTCTCATTGGCGTTGCGTTCCCCTCGTCCCTTGGCCCCTTCCCTGCACAATCGCCGCGGTCATGGGGCCAGGGACAATGTACCCGCCCACTCACTTTTCGCTAATGTGTGTAGGTGTGTATCTCCACCTATCGAGGGCGGGGCGATGCGATGCGGTGCGGTGCGGTGCTACGATACACGATCTGACATGCCGTACCCGTGTTTCTGCGGTGGGTGGGTGCGAGGCAAGCTGGCGTCTACCAGTGGAACGATTCGTTGTGCTACCATGCCGGCCGACACACGGACGAGG